ATTTTAACGAGAAATTGCTCGTCGACCTCGAATGGCGGGCGTCTTGGTCTCGCCTGCCGCATCTACCTGGGGGGGATAGGGACTGGGATCGCTTGTCCTTTTTTGGAGGAGTGTTCGGGGCAAGGGGGTCATGGCGCTTTCTGAAGGGGGGGTTGTTTTCTGTTTTTGTTTGGTGTTTGTTTTTTTTGTCTGTTCGTGTGTTCAGTTTCTTATTTTTTTCTGTTTTGTTTGTCTGTCTGCTTGTCTGGCTCACTCTCTCTCTCTCTCATCCCCTATTTCTTCTCTGTCTTCTTGCTCTCTCTCTTTTCTCTCCCTCTCATCCCTCTTTCCCTCTCTGCCTTTTCTCTCTCTCTCTCTCGTCTCTCTCTCTCTCTCTCTCTCTATTTTCCTCTCTCTCGCACCCTGTCTATCTGTCCTTCTACTACGTTCTCCTTCCCTCCCCACCCCTCCCCTTCTTCCTCCTCCTATCCCCACTCCCTCCACCCCACCCACCCATCCCTCCCTCCCTCCATTACCAAACCGTATCCCTCACTTTCCCCCTCCCCCACCAAACACCCTCATTCTTGTCCTCCACACCTCCGCCAAGCACANGAAGGACGGACGAGAGAGACGAACTGATCCACTCGCGCATCAGACAGTTCGCTTTGAGAGTCGATCAGAGATATGACGAGAGAGACTCGAGGAGAGACATGGACGACGAAGAGCGAGGAGAGAGAAAGAGAGAAGAAGAGAGAAAGAAGACAGACAGACAGACAGACAGGACCAGAAAGACAGACAGACAGACAGACAGACAGACAGACAGCAGCAATAACACCATTCCTCTTACCTCCTTACACATTCCAAACTCGACGGTGAAGAAATACAACTAAAAGAAAAAGAGAAAAAGAGAGAGAGAAAAAAAAGAGTTATTTTCCAAAGCCTTGATTTTATTAAGGATTTTCTTAGAATTAGTTTACAAGTGGAAAATTGTCAAGTGATTAATTTAATTTGATTTTATAAAATAAGTTCCGAAAAGGAGATCGACTTTTTATGAATATGTGTTTTCAAAATTTCGAACATATATATTCTTCACAAACAAAACAAGCTTCACAACAAAAAAAAAAAAAAAAAAAAAAAAAAACGTTTTAACAAATATCTAAAAATTCCATATTGCAAGAAAACATACAAATAAAACAAACAAAGAAAGAAAGAAAAATGAAACAGCAAAATAAATTCGGTTTCCTTAGAAGAATGAAATAATGAATAAATGAGTAAATAAGAAATTAAACAAGAAAGAAAGAAACAAAAAACGTTGTGTTTAAAGAATAAAAGAAAAAAAATATCCCCTTCAAATATGAACAACCAGATAAAGAAACAAATACATATATAAACACAAAATAAACACACAAACAAATACAAAAAAACAAACAACCAAACAAACCAAAACAACATCCCCACCCCCTCCCCCCTCAAAAAAAAAATAAATAAATAAAAAAAAAAAAAGAATAAAAAAAAAAATAAAAAAAAATAAAAATCGAGAGCATAGGCCTACACACCGTTGCAATCTTCTGCAGGTCTTCGTCGTTGGCCCGAGGGAAAGCTAGGCCTATTTCTTGCGAGAATTGGCGAAACTCGGCAGGCTAAGAGGGCATGTGGCCGAGGAGCTCATGGCAGCAGCAGTCCCTTTAGGGGTGGAGGGAGAAGGGGGAGAGGGGAATGAGGGAGGGGAGAGGGGAGGGGGAGAGGGAGAGGGGGGAGAGAGGGGAGAGGGGGGGGGAGGGAGGGAGGGGAGAGAAGGGGAGAAGGGAAGAGGGAGAAGAGGGAGAGAGGAGGGAGAGAGGGAGAGTAGGGGAGGAGGTAAGAAGGGGAGGAGGAGAGGGAGAGAGAGGGAGAGGGAGAGAGGGAGAAGGGGGAGAGGGGGAGAGATGGAGAGGGGGAAGAGGGGGGGATTAGAGGAGATGGAGAAAGGGAGAAGGGAGAGAGGGGGAGAGGAGGAGAGGAGGAGAGGAGGAGAGGAGGAGGAGGGGAAGAGGTGAAGAGGGCAGACGAGAGAACAGGGAGAGGAGGAGAGAGGTAGAGAGGGGAGAGGAGGAGAGAGAGAGAGGGGGGAGAGAGGGACAAGAGAGAGAGGGAGGGAGGGAAATATTGTTACTTTATTGATATTATTATTGATGTTCGTATTGTTGCTGTTGTATGTATGTATGTATTATCATCATTATCATTTTTTTCCTTTATTCTCATTATTATCATCATTATTATCATTCCATTATTACTACTATAATCATATCTATAATCATAATTATTATCGTCATAATTGCAGAGAGATCAGCACACCACTTATACAATCTACACATTCTATATAAACAACGACTCCTCATACAATCTACAAATTCTATACAAACACAGACTTCTCATACAATCTACACAATCTACACAAACTGACACCTTGTCATACAATCTACACAATCTACACAAACTGACACCGACTCACACAATCTACACAATCTTCACAAACTACACA